TTTTTTTTTTTTTTTTAATTAAAGGATTTTTATCTAAAAGTCTGAACTATTTTATTTAACCCTTTAGTGAATGGGTTGGGTACAAGTACCCCTTACTCATTCACAAGGGGGGAGGGCGGCATCTGGGTGCCCCCTTATTTAAAGGGGTACCCCCACAACCACCGGGTCAGGGTTGTGAGGAAGAAGCCCTTGTCCCCATTGGCACGGGGACACCCTCCCAATGCTGAGGGCACTTGGCCTGGTAAGGCGCAGGGAGGGGGTGCTTGATCGCCCCCCCCCCCTTTCCAGCCCTGCCGGGCCAGTGCCCGGATCAAGGGTCTGGTAGGACTGTTAGGGGGACCCCACGTTTTTTCCCCCCATTTTTTGGGGGATTGGGTTCCACCTTAAAAATCCTACCAGACCTAAAGGGTCTGGTATGAATTGGGGGGAACCTCACGCTTTTTTTTTTTTTCATCTTCTGCAGACTGTAAAATAAAATAAAAAATAAAAATTCTAATGTCACTTTGCTGCAACGAAATTTCTTCCATTAAACAAAATTTCGACCAGACTACCGCTAACGCATTTCGGGAAATCGGGAATCCGGATTCGTTTGCATTCGTCTTAGCTGTAATTCGGAATTCGGATGCATCCGAATCTCCCAACATCCGAAATTTCGTCCGAATTTCGATTCAGAACGAAACGAATTGCACATGTCTAATAATTACTGGAAACATTGGCATGAACAAATAAAGAACGGCTCACACTATGTGACACACAAGGTGGCCCAATATTACAAAATTGGTTTATAATAATTATCATCATCATCATCCAGAAAGGAAGCATACATTGCCCCTTACATTGGTGGTCAGTGGGAGAGTCAGTAAGAGAAGGGCCCCTTACATTGGTGGTCAGTGGGAGAGTCAGTAAGAGAAGGGCCCCTTACATTGGTGGTCAGTGGGAGAGTCAGTAAGAGAAGGGCCCCTTACATTGGGGGTCAGTGGGAAGAATGCTCCTTACATTGGGGGTCAGTGGGAAGAATGCTCCTTACATTGGGGGTCAGTGGGAAGAATGCTCCTTACATTGGTGGTCAGTGGGAAGAATGCTCCTTACATTGGTGCTATACATACATGTTATAAGAACATGCAATGCATGTTGAAGTGTCCCTTGCATATACACCATGGCCTCCTAGTGTAAAGGGAACCTGTCATGAACTTGGACAATTCAAACCGAGCATTCGATTGAAGACTTCACAGTCAGCTTAGGAGCACAATGTTCTCTTCCACCTAATGTCCTCTTCTCACTCTTTTCTTTCTCCAGAAATTTGAGCTGCCAGAGAATCACTCTTCACAAAAATCTTTTCGTGTCCTTCGTTTGCAATTCCATTGTTACCATCATTTCGCTGACAGCTGTGGCCAACAATCAGACTTTAGTTGCAACCAACCCGGTAGGTGAAATCTTGTTTATTTGACAATTACATTGAGAACTTCATGTTCTGTTGTCTTCCATAAGGATGATATAGATGAATACATTTGGCTTTCAAAAGTTATCATGGTATATATAGGCCATTCTATTAGGGAGAGTGCATCACTTCCTATGCGTCGGCGGGTGTCTGCGCGCCTTTGTGCGCACTTCCGTTTGTGCACGCATGCGCACTAGAGTATGTTTTCTAGCAACACGGAATACAGGCCTATGCGCACTCGCAGACTCCATCTTTGCCTTACGGTCAAAAAGGAAATTGGGAAGGAGAGGCAGGGAGCGTCTAAGGGCTGTACCAATATACACAGAGGGGGTATAATGTAGAGATGTACCAAGACACAAATTATTCATAAACAATAACAGAACAGATTGCTTGTGGCAGCACATTGGCTCAGGTTAGTTAGTTCACATCAAGCAGGGCTACCCTCTAGTACAGTGGTTCTCAACCTGTGTAACCTCACTTGAATGGACTCAAGAAAGGGAATCTAGTTACTGGATCAGATCAGCGTTATTGGTAGTAAAAGCAAAGCCAGCATCATTCAATCCACTTCCTGTGAGGGGGGCAAAGGCCCGCCCCTGAGGGTCTGCTGTAGGGAGGTAGAGAAGACTTTGGGGAGATCTCTTCTCCATTCTGTTTAATGGTGTAAGAAAAATCTGAATTAAAGTGAATCTTCTGTCATATGTCACCAACCTACTGAGTTTTATTCTACTAAACTTCCCAAGACCTCCTGCTTTCCAGCTCCCTTGTCAACTCCTCCCATGCTCGCCCCCAGGACTTCTCTAGAGTCTCTCCCATCCCATGCCTTTAGGCGATCCCTTAAGACTCATCTCTTCAGGGAAGCCGATCCCACCTCAACCTAACCACTGAACCATCACGTTCTCAAACCATTCATCCCCACACAGCTACCTCCTCATGTATCACTGGCCCCTCCCCTTTTAAATTGTAAGCCCTCAGGGGCGGGGCCCTCCTTACCATCTTGTCTAGTATTATATTGTGATTGTAATGTCTTCCTTATATTGTAAAGCGCTGCGCAAACTGTTGGCGCTATATAAATCCTGTATAATAATAATAATAATGATAACATTACTATTAGGGATGCACCAATACCAGTTTTTCGGTATAGAGTACGGGTACCGATATTTTTTTTCCGGTACTCGCCAATACCGAGTACCGTAAGTCCCATTCAGGAAGCCAAGCGGCGTGTAATGACTCGCCACCCGGGCTTCCCGATTAGCAGGGAAGCCGTCCCCATGCTTCTCATCACTAGGTGACGAGAGAGAATGGAGCCGGCTCTCTGGCCAATCAGGAAGCCGGGCGCCGTGTAATGACTCGGCGCCCAGCTTCCTGATTGGCCCGGGAAGCCAGCCCCATGCTCCCACGTCATGAGGTGACCAGGGAGCATGAAGCCGGCTACCCGACCAATCAGAAAGCCGGGCGCCGCGTCATTATACGACGCCTGGCTTCCTGATTGGCCAGCTTCTGACCAATCAGGAAGCCGGTCAGCGTGTCATTACACGCTGCCCGGCTTCCTGAATGGCACTTCCGGTACTCGGTATTTGCAAGTACCGGAAAAAAAGTGACGAGGGAGCATGGAGCCGGCTTCCCGGCCAATCAGGATGCCGGGTAGCGTGAAATGACACGCTGACCGGCTTCCTGATACCGGAAGTATCGGGCTAGGCATCGGAGCATTTGGGAGAACTCGCCCAAATACTCGGCACCAATATCAATATCAGTGCATCCCTAATTACTATATATTCTATTCACAGATCATTCCAATGTCTGTCTAGCCGTGACTTTGAGAGTCGGGAAGGGTTAGACCCCCATGTTGGGTTTTTGCTGCTCTCTAGGAGATGCACTTTGATACTGGTACCATTATAAATACATTTCCTGTTGGGGGGTCACTGATCACTCTGTGGGTGTGGCCTATACTAATACCCTTTTAACCTTCATTTATTTTAATGGCAGGTGAGCTGCAAGATCTCCCAGTTCATCCACTTTTATCTGATGGGATGCAACTACTTCTGGATGCTGTGTGAAGGAATCTATCTCCATACGCTCATAGTGGTGGCCGTGTTTGCCGAGAAGCAGCACTTGATTTGGTATTACTTACTAGGATGGGGTAAGACGTTCGTTATCATGATATTGAGGACAAGTGACACGTTTTCAGTTCTCGTGTTGTTTTGTATTCACCGTCTTAGTCACACTCTTATGTGAAGCCATGATGGATCAAAAGGGGGAATCTCGTTGATATTGCTGCGTGTGTCCACTGGAGGGAAATCCCGCTTATCCCACTGAAAACAATGAAGAGGGGGACGTTGGGAGCCCCCAAAGCATGTTGCCTTAAAGCCCTGATGAAGTGGGAGCTTACAGCCCTTAAAATGTGTTGGATTAAAGCCCTGATATAGGGGGAGCTTTGAGCCCCCAATACACATTGTCCTAAAGCCCTCATGAAGGGGGAGCTTTGAGCCCCCAACACACATTGTCCTAAAGCCCTCATGAAGGGGGAGCTTTGAGCCCCCAACACACATTGTCCTAAAACCCTCATGAAGGGGGAGCTTTGAGCCCCCAACACACATTGCCCTAAAGCCCTCATGAAGGGGGAGCTTTGAGCCCCCAACACACATTGTCCTATAGCCCTCATGAAGGGGGAGCTTTGAGCCCCCAACACACATTGTCCTAAAGCCCTCATGAAGGGAGAGCTTTGAGTCCCTGAATTGCTATTGATTAAAGCCCCAGTAAAGGGGGAGCTTTTGAGTCCATGAAGTATGTTGGATTAAAGCCCTGACGAAGGGGGAGCTTTGAGTGCCCCGCGTTGGCTTTTTGACTTGTAGTAAAAAAACAAACATTGATACCGGACTCAAGTCTTGCGGCACTCTTTTCCTCCTCATGTTCTTCAGAACGCCCCACAGCAGATTTCCACTCAAGGTGCTGATTTCAATACCTGTTGATCCTGCCAGAAATCCAGTGAGCTGATACCTTCCTGTGCTCTCTGCAGTGCTTTCCCAAGCAGTGTCATCAGCCCTGTCCATTCACTTGTGTGGACTACTGCAATCCCCCACCACCACCACCACCATGAAGACACTTCCTGTCATAGGGTGAAAATGCTAATACAGCAGATTGGCCTGGAAGCCAGCTCGATGCTGATTGGCTGTGAAGCCTTTTTCCCAGCCAGACACAATCAAGCCGGCCAAACAACATGGAGCCGGCTTTCCGGGCAAACAGGAAGCCGGGCGGCATGTCATTACCCACCACCCGGCTTCCTGCCAACGGAAGCACCGGTATTGATACTCGGTTTCGGTGAGTACCGAAAGCAAAATGTCGGTACTCGATACCGAAAAACCGTTATCAGTGCATCCCTAGCCAACATGATGGGCGATCTGACCACCGCTGACCATTAGAAAATTCAACGAACCAACAAAAAACATTTTAGAACAAAACTCTTCTCCTTTGTGGCCGGCTTTCTTTTGGTCTGAAACGTGTAAGTTGTGCTCATAGGCTTTAATAAAGGATCTCTCGGAGGATGGAAGTGCCTGCCGCCACCGCCGCCGCTTGTTTCTTACCAAGGATTGCGTCCTATTGTGGAAACATTAGCTGTGTTGACAGAGTCAATACGCGGTCACGTTCTCTCTGGTTGGCATTGCCAATGAGATTTTGGAAGAAGTTGTTTTTTTTCCTTCATAGAAACAGACGCGACGCTGAAATGTTCCGGCATACTGGGCGACGAGGAACGTGTGGCAATTGCTTGTGTTTAAAGAGAACGGGTCACATGGACAAAGGAGTAAAGCCAACACAGAATCATAAAAGGAGAGTCCCTGAAGTCTATATGAGCAGAACATGCACCGATCAGCCATAACATTATGACCACCCGCCTCATATTTAGTAGGTCCCCCTTCTCCTGACCCGTCCAGGCATTGACTCCACTAGACCTCTGATGGTGAGCTGTGGTATCTGGATGCCCCCCTAATATTGAGTAGGTCCCCCTTTTCCTGACCCGTCCAGGCATTGACTCCACTAGACCTCTGATGGTGAGCTGTGGTATCTGGATGCCCCCCTAATATTGAGTAGGTCCCCCTTTTCCTGACCCGTTCAGGCATTTACTCCACTAGACCTCTGATGGTGAGCTGTGGTATCTGGATGCCCCCCTAATATTGAGTAGGTCCCCCTTTTCCTGACCCGTTCAGGCATTTACTCCACTAGACCTCTGATGGTGAGCTGTGGTATCTGGATGCCCCCCTAATATTGAGTAGGTCCCCCTTTTCCTGACCCGTTCAGGCATTTACTCCACTAGACCTCTGATGGTGAGCTGTGGTATCTGGATGCCCCCCTAATATTGAGTAGGTCCCCCTTTTCCTGACCCGTTCAGGCATTTACTCCACTAGACCTCTGATGGTGAGCTGTGGTATCTGGATGCCCCCCTAATATTGAGTAGGTCCCCCTTTTCCTGACCCGTTCAGGCATTTACTCCACTAGACCTCTGATGGTGAGCTGTGGTATCTGGATGCCCCCCTAATATTGAGTAGGTCCCCCTTTTCCTGACCCGTTCAGGCATTTACTCCACTAGACCTCTGATGGTGAGCTGTGGTATCTGGATGCCCCCCTTATATTGAGTAGGTCCCCCTTTTCCTGACCCGTCCAGGCATTGACTCCATTAGACCTCTGAAGGTGTGCTGCGATATCTGGAGGCCCCCCCTAATATTGAGTAGGTCCCCCCTTCTCCTGACCCGTCCAGGCATTGACTCCACTAGACCTCTGAAGGTGTGCTGTGATATCTGGATGCCCCCCTAATATTGAGTAGGTCCCCCTTTTCCTGACCCGTCCAGGCATTGACTCCACTAGACCTCTGAAGGTGTGCTGCGATATCTGGATGCCCCCCCTAATATTGAGTAGGTCCCCCCTTCTCCTGACCCGTCCAGCCACTAGACCTCTGATGGTGAGCTGTGGTATCTGGATGCCCCCCTTATATTGAGTAGGTCCCCCTTCTCCTGACCCGTCCAGCCACTAGACCTCTGATGGTGAGCTGTGGTATCTGGATGCCCCCCTTATATTGAGTAGGTCCCCCTTCTCCTGACCCGTCCAGCCACTAGACCTCTGATGGTGAGCTGTGGTATCTGGATGCCCCCCCTAATATTGAGTAGGTCCCCCCTTCTCCTGATCCATCCAGGCATTGACTCCACTAGACCTCTGATGGTGAGCTGTGGTATCTGGATGCCCCCCTTATATTGAGTAGGTCCCCCTTTTCCTGACCCGTCCAGGCATTGACTCCATTAGACCTCTGAAGGTGTGCTGCGATATCTGGATGCCCCCCCTAATATTGAGTAGGTCCCCCCTTCTCCTGACCCGTCCAGCCATGGACTCCACTAGACCTCTGAAAGTATGCTGTGGTATCTAGATGTCCCCCCTAATATTGAGTAGGTCCCCCTTTTCCTGACCCGTCCAGCCACTAGACCTCTGAAGGTGTGCTGTGGTATCTGGATGACCCACCCTAATATTGAGTAGGTCCCCTTCTCCGGACCAGGCATGGACGGGTCATGGACTCCATTACACCCCTGAAGGTAAGCGGTGGTATCTGGATGTCCCCCCTCAATATTGAGTATGTCCCTCTTCTCCTCGGACTTGTTTCTCCAGCACATCCCACATATGATAGATTGGACTGAAATCTGGAGAATTTGGAGGCGGAGTCATCACCTCAGACTCGTTGTGTTCCTCAGACCATTCTTCATCCGTGTGTGCCGTGTGGCCGGGCGCATTATGCTGCTGAAGGAAGCCACTGCCATCAGGGAATGCCGTGTCCATGAAGTGGGGGACTTGGTCAGTGACAATGTTTAGGTCGGTGGGATGTGTCAGAGTGACATCCACATGAATGGCCGGACCCGAGGTGTCCCAGCAGAACATTGCCCAAAGCATCACACTGCCCCTCCCCCGGCTTTTCTCCTTCCCATAGTGCATCCTGGTGCCATCTCCTCACCAGGTAAGTGACACACACCCAACCCGGCCATCCACATGATGTACATCAGACCCGGCCTCCTTCTTCCATCGCTCCGTGCTCCAGTTCTGATGCTCACGTGCCCATTGTAGGCACTTTTGGTGGTGGACACGGGTCACCATGGGCCCCCTGACCGGTCTGCGGCTACACAGCCCCATACACGACAACCTGCGATGCTCTGCTTGTTCAGACACCTTTCTATCAGAACCAGAACCATGAACTTTATCAGCAATCTGATCTCCAGTAGCAAAAATACCAAATATTATATCATCCCATTCCTGAGATGTGGTGGCTTTTCCAGTAACACATTTCCTGTTCTAGGGTGACAACGCTCACTCACTGTACTGTATCTATGGAGAAAAGTTGTCAGGTTAGCGTGTGCGGAGTACAGAACACCTCGCCTTCACCTCATCTTCATGATGTAGGGAAGATATTCTGTAGTTCACAGACGTGGACCGGGCGGGCTCATTGGCCAGTTTGATCCATCACTGCAGAGTGCACGGGACGGCACTGGAATTCTAGCAGGATCAACAGGACTTTATTGGCACAAACAGACACAAAGAAACACTTTCACTGGTATATTTAACCCCCCAAAAGGAAACAAATAAGATGCATTAACCCCTTCGTGTCTGACGACGTACTGACTGACGGGCTGTTTAAACAGACTCCCGGCGTGTCCCTGGGCTGTCAGTTCTGGGCTCCTGCAGCCCAGCTATAAGCTATTGAAGTGCGATCTGCACTTCAATAGCTTATTTCCAGTGTAAAGGTGACACTGAGGGTCTTTTGGACCCCCAGCATCAACTTAAAGAGTACCTGTCACTACCATCTGCTATCACATGGGGGGGCTTGTAAGCCCCCCTATGTGATAGCAGTCAAAGTAAAGTAAAAAACAAACCAAAAAAAACAGTTTTCAAAATGAAATAAAATAAATCTAATAATAAAAAAATGTTTAAAGTGCCCAGGCCCCGCGAGCACGCGCATCGCCACGTAAACACGCGTCGGGTGCGCCTACGTATGAAAACGACGAACGCGCTACACATGTTGCCGGAGTGAGAGCAATAATTCCGGGGCCAGTATTTTGGGGTATCTCTAAATTGATGACCTGTGGGGGCTTTTAAAGCGTCTTCTATGGACTTTTTGGGGGTACTGCAGTTTTTCGCCGTTTCACGGACGCACGCAATTTGTAAACTGGGCATGTTGGGTATCGTTTTACTCGTTGTAACCTCATCTTTTATATTTCATTAAGAAAATTGGTATTTTGTTGTGTTTTGGGGCATTTAATTAAATCTGTCACAAAAGTTTGGGGTTTAATAAGGAGTTGCGTTAATATTGCGCAACATAAAAATTTGCAACTACCACCATTACATTGTATAGGATCTCGGCTATCGGAAAATATATCATGTTTGGGGGGTTTTAAGTAATTTTCAGGCCTAAAATGTGGAATATAACACGGGTGCAAAAAATAAAAAAAAGGCCTCAGTCATGAAGGGGTTAACGGGTTATATTTACAAAGACTTTAAATGCTGGCTGTGGGTCCGGTGCTGGGCCCAGGAGCTGACAGTCTCCCAGCACAGAGCTCTAGTCTCGGAACATTCCTATTCATACCATCTACGTTCCTTGTCTCCTCCCAGGGTTCCCTCTGATTCCGGCATGCATACACGCAGTGGCCAGAACCTTGTATTATAACGACAAGTAAGTGATAAATTCTTTGTTCAGCCCGTAATCGGATCCCGCTGTCTGCGTACAATACGACATCTGATCTTCTCTTTTCTGTTTAGCTGCTGGATAAGTTCCGACACCCACTTGCTCTATATCATCCACGGGCCCATTTGTGCCGCTTTGTTGGTATGTATTCTATTCATTCATTGTATTTTATACTTCACTTTATATGGGG